TGTAATTTGTCTACCGCTCTTTTATCACAGTCCTGAGGCTCCTTGGCTGTAAGAGACGTTATCTTTGTTTCCTCTAGGGTCCGGTCACGGTCAAAGTCCAGGTTCCCAACATGCAGGACAAGACGGAATGGAAACTGAATGGCCAAGTGCTGGTGTTCACCCTGCCGCTCTCAGACCAGGCACGTAGCTCCTTAACCCGGCCTCTGCCCCTTCTTATTTTGTTACTGATTTTCTTTGCTTTGAGAGTAGCAGTTGACCTGCATGGCAGGAGCTGTAAAACTCTGGATGTTCCCCACGCTGCGGCCTCTTGCCCAGCGGGGTTGCGTGGCTGGGGGAGCAGGGCTGGCCCATCTGGACAGCGGGGAAAAAAAGCCTGAGCAAGGTCTTTGATTCTTCCTAGGTGTCTGTCATAAAGGTTAAGATCCATGAGGCCACAGGGATGCCAGCTGGGAAGCAGAAGCTGCAGTACGAGGTGGGTGTAAGCCCTTCAAACCCTGTATTTCAGCACTTTCTCACACACAAACTGACTTTTTACAAGAAAAAGTTGTAACATACCTACTGAGATGTTGGGAAGAGCAGAGGGAATGTTCTTCCTCTCTGTGCAGCACGCTTGGTTACAGAACTGTACGCTGTTAGTGCAGGACAGGCCTTTAATAGCTGGCATCAGCGGATCTTCACAGGATTGGTGTGGCAGATGAGTCCTCTAAGCTTGATGTCTTTCTCCGAGATCAGCCTATTCTTATATTGGGGTTTTTTAACATGTAAATGCAGTAGTTGGCTCCCACTGTTCTGTCATGTGTGCTCTGGAAGGCAGGCGAGAGTACCTTGAAACCCTGGCAGCTCTGACAAGACTTTCTCCAAAACACGGAAGGAAGGAGATCTCTCTGATGCCCTTCTTCTCGAGAGCGGAGCTGTTAGAAAGGCACCGTTCCTTTTTGATAACTTGTTTGCAGTCACGCACGTGCGCAGGCACAACTTGCTGCCTAAGCAGTGAACTTTGTGCACTTATCTCCTCAGGAGCTCGTCTATGGGCAGATATTGTGTTAACCTTTAGCAAGAAAGGAAGCTTAACTGATTTTTTTTTTTTTTTTTAAGGAAAAAAAAAGTGGGGGGGAGTGAAGCCTAATAACTTCACTTGTTGTGGTGACGGCCTTTCTTTATATGTTCGTAGAGGTATATAGTGTATATTGTCTGTCTGTACTCTCGCGTCATTCCCAGCACACCCACCTCCTCCGGTGCCCGTCTTCTGAGACGCTGGGATCTCTCGGGGTTTTTCAAAGCCTGCAGCATTCTGTCATCGCCCTGTTTTGAGAGTAGGGCCAGGAGGGCTTCCTCTGGCGGGGGGTTGTGGGAAGGCAGTGTTAAGGTTTCTGCTGTGATTTGTTTTTTTTTCTTTTCTTTTATTCCCTCAGGGCATCTTCATCAAGGATTCGAACTCCCTGGCTTATTACAACATGACAAGCGGCTCTCTGATTCACCTGGCCCTCAAAGAAAGGGGAGGCAGGAAGAAATAGGAGCCGTGGAGGCCAGAGCCGTAACATGGCTGTGTTGCCACTCGTGTAACCCCAGCCCTTCGAATCCTCCAGCCTTTTAGGGGCTACTGCCACCACCTGCCAGCTCTAGTTTGAAAAGAGAGACCATGAAGCCCGCGTTTGGGTGGCTGATGGGCGAGGGGAAGCTGACAGAGCCCTGAAATGTATAAATGTAGTGACCTAGTACGTAGCCGCAGCAGTCTGTTAGTGATCGATGCTTTGCTCGAATGCTGTCTCTCTTTTTAATTCCCTCGTGAAGCAACGTTGAGGTCATGGCCAGCTTAGCCTAGATCCACCTTTGAGGGATTTACGCTGACCAGGAACATCATCTGACTCCAGTGCTTGCTGCTTCATTTAACCTTTTTCTAATTGAAAACATCTTCCTTCTCAAAATACTTACTAAGCCTCTTATTCTTTCTCCGTCTCTGATCTATCTGCACGAGCCTCTCGCACTGACCCTGACTTGGAAATTTATCTTCCCTCAGCGCGAGTGTACGTGGCTGCTCCCTGCGATAAAGGAGATCTGGGTCCGTGCGCGCCGAACAGCTTCGTGCTGCTTCTGTACAGCCAGTGATTTGTTTTAATAAATGCGCGTCTCGGCGCAGGGTTCTGTCTGTCGCAGTTCCTTGGGGTTTAGGTTTTTTAGACGGAGATGTGCCTGGCTTCAGAGTGTGCGGGGAAATACATCGGGGTTTCATAATTAAGCAATTTACTGTAGGAAATTATTTTATTTTCTAAGAAAGGCTGCAAGAAAAGGGTTTTGTTGAAATTTCCCTAGTGCTATGCAGCTATTCCTGAACGTAAAGCGTGTATATATGAGTGCTTATGTCTGTGTGTGGGGGCAGAAAGACTGCTTTGAACTTTGAGTTTCACTGGAAAACGTGTTCTACACTTTATATCATGCATCTCTTGGTCCTGGAGAGCATACAGGGCTGGAAAATGGGTTAACGCCAGTACTGTCAGCCAGCCCTGTGCTGCGGTTTGATACAAACATAACAGAAAGTTAATCTACAGCGAGATAATTAAGTGCCGAGGAAGAGGCGGTTGTCTGTCGCTGCCCCAGCAGCTGTGTGATTTGGGTACCTCTGCTCTTTTGGGATAATCCAAAGCCGTGGATTTCTTTTTTTTTCTCCTTTTTTTTAGCGGTGGTCAGGCATTCCAGAACATCCTGTTTACCTCATTCTGTGCCTCGGGGTGAGAGAAATTTAGCAAGAGGGAAGAGCCAGCGTCCTCCTGCCTCCGCTGCGCTCCTCTCGGGCCGGGAGGAAGCCCTGGAGGGATGGTGCCTGGCGCTGGCCCAGCCCAGGTGGCCAGCAGTCCCTCGGCCGCGGTGGCCGGCCGCTGTCTCTGATGGATGCCCACGTCTCTGTGCAGAGGCAGGCTGCTCCCATCCCCACTGCCAGGCGCCGAATTCGGAGCCGCTCGGCGAGTGTGCGCAGGGTGGATGCTGCAGGAAGGTGGGATAATTACTTTGCTTTTAAAACCTAGGCAATAGGTACAATCTTGGAGAAAAAACTGGGCAGCGAGGGGGTGCTTTCCAGAGCTGATTAAAAAAAAATCTGCCAAGAAAGCTCTGAAACGGAGAAGTTAACTTTTTTACATCCATCGTGGGGTGATGGGGGCCGTGTTGAAGGTCATCCAACTTTTCCAGCCGTGCTCGGCGGTACCCGAGGAGCTCCCGGTCCGACGCGCGTTTCCTCGACGGCTCCGGCTGAACGCCGCGCTGCTGCTTTGGGTGACATTTTCAGCCAAGCCCCTTTTACCAGCCTGGCAGGAAAACTTCCCACTAGAAATAGCTCGTGTGGAGCCTCGCCAGCCCCTTTCTATCTAAATATTACTGATCAACGTCGTAACAGCCTGCATGCGTGTCTAGCAGAAAACAACTGCTATCACAGCCTTCCACTTCAGGGGGGAGGCCCCGCGGGGCTCCGTCTGCCAGAAAAATCTGGAAGTAGGTTGAGTCGTTGCTGATTTTAATGAGCTTTGTTCCCTTGGTCCTTTGGCGATTTACCCAGCACCGTACCCGCTTTCGGAGGGGTCTTGGCTCTGGTAAAAACACATTTTTTTTGGCTGTTCAAGGGCTCACGGCTGTGAGAAGCGTCTGGAGGTGGGATGGAGCTCACTGCCTCCCTCCCTGCGGATCTGACCCCGGACGGCTTCCCCCGGGGCAGGTCCCAGCAGATCCCAGCGCTGTCACCCAGTCCCTTATGGACCCTTTTGTGCTTTATTTCTAGAAGAACCGGGGGGCTGGTGGGGGGTGGGGACCCTCGGGGGACTGGGGCAGGTTCGGGGGGCAGGGAATAACGCCTGCGCCTTTGGCTTCGACTGGACCACGCTCATCCCTAAAGGAAAACGGATCCTCCCAGTGCCCCATCCCAGTACGCGCCCAGTGCAACCCTAGCTCGGCCCCAGTGCCCTCCCAGCACGGCCCTCCCGGAGCCGCAGTGTGCACGCCTGCAGCCTCCCTGCGGTCCCAGTGCCCTCCCAGTGCAGCCCGGCTGCGGGCTCAGCCCGCTCCCAGTATGGACCCGCTCCCAGTACGGACCCGCTCCCGGTCCCAGTCCCACCGCGGCCCCGCTCCCAGTCCTGGCACCGCCCCTCGCTGGCACCGCCGGGGGCGGGGGCAAGCCCTTGACGGACAGCTCCCTCCCGGCTCTTGACCAATCCCCTCCTGGAGCGGGCGGTCCCCTTCGCCATCCTTGCGGCTGATTGGCGGGAGGCTCCCTCCCGCCCAATAGCGTCGCGGCGCGAGGGCGTGGCCCGGCGGGCGGGGGGCGTGG